CTCGAATTTGAAGAGAGCCGGATGAGAATTATCTGGTCCCGCGGCCTTATTCAACTTCAACAGTCCGATCTCACGTTCGACCTCTGAGCGAGAGGGCGGATCCAAAGGGACAGTTCAGGGAGAAGGGTGATCAGCGACCGACCAGAAATCTGACAATTCAGCCCGATTGAAATGCCTCTCAAAATATCCAGCCTAACACTCCAGCGTTTCGACAAGTTGTGGATAGGCTATCCACTTTCGTCACATATAGCTTCACTAACACTAGGTCTCCTGCTGCTCGTTTCCCGTTTCAAAGGGAACAAGTTTTGAAGTTTACCAAGAACAGCGGCTACTTCCATACCTGATGTACGATGTGACCACCACGCTTCGCAGCCTTGTCTCACGTCAGCACGGTTTAGCTCTGAGATCTTTGCGAGTCACATTGCGTTAGCTTCCAGCTGGAATGTGCCGACGACTATCGATATGTTACAGAGACCGCGAAGAGATCCAACGTTCATGTTGCCTTTTGGACTTACCATAGAAAGATTTAGCTGCGGCTAATAAGGATTGGTAAACATGTGACCAGCGACCCTCGGCCGCCTTCAGTGAGGGCTTACACAACCAGAATGCCAGCGTGCCCTGATACATATACAGAACATCTGAGTTCGCCAGTTGGCTGGAGTCTATGCACTCATAGCGTCGTCGTGGGTGTCCGCCAAAACGCACCAGCAGACCAGCACATAGAAGTGCATGGTCGGTGTCCACACCTGTGCTCCAAATCGAGCGACAGTTCTGGACGCAGCCTCTCCATCGGTAACTTATCGCAATGTGATCGATTTGCGTCCATACCTGGTTCGAGGCTGGTGGGCGCCAAGTCACCCTCCGGCGGGTGCTGTGTCTGAAATTAGTGCTCGCAAGAAATAAGCGAGCATCCTCACACAAATGAAGTAACCGCTCACCGTTATCATTACGGGAGCCTACACCATGTTGGCCGCCCAGATGCAGCTCATCTGTGGATAATTTTCCAACTTGAGCGTTCAGATCCCCAGCCTGCACTACAGTGTCCGTGCTTCTTTTGTGGCAAAGGTGTTCGTTCAGTTAGCGGTAGAAATCGTTTTTTATCGAGTCATCGCTACAGTTTGTGTGCGCGTAGGCAGCGATGACGAACAGATATCTATTAGTCCGTGCTACTTCGAGGCTTTGAACGAGTCAGCCCATTCGGACCGCAAATAGACAGCTAATGATCTGGATCCAACCAACCAGAGCAGCTTCAGTCCGGGGACTCAGAACAATACTAACACCGGCCTGGACGGCACACAAAGTTACATCTTCTCCGGATACGTGCAGAATGAAAGCACTGCTGGTGTCACCTGAAAGGGATCGCAAGGCGAGCATAGAGCTCGAGATGAGGTTTAGTTAGCACGGTTAGCCCTAGATTTCGAGCGTGTTAGTGCTGCAAGAACAACAGGACCAGTTAAACGGATTCAAAAATGCACGAGTAAAACACATAGGAACCAAAGAAGAGGAAGAATGCTTGACAATAGGTTGCAAAACAAAAGGGATAGCCGACGATTCCCAATTGCGACCAAATTTGATCCCATTCGCTGACATTCGAATCGACATAATGCGTCAACAACTGCAGCGTAGAAAATTGTGAGCTCTTATAAGTCCAAAGTCTTGCGCTCCCAAACATAAAGACAATCAGCTTCACTATGAGTTACAGTTTGAAAGCCTGTTTGACCAAACAAAAGGGCTAGTAGCTAAGTCAAATGAAGACCTGGAACGCTTTAAATGTTCTCTAGTGAACACCTGCTACCAGTATCGCAAGTGCCATGTCCAAACTCACGGTCCACTGACACGCACGCACCTTGACGCGCTGAAGGATTTACGACGTAATGATAAGATCGTTCTGAGCAAACCGGACAAGAGTACCTGAGTCGTTCTATTAGACAAAGAAGACTATATAAGCAAGCTAGAAAAAGTTCTGAGTGATGAATCCAAATTTTCCCGAACGATTGGAGAAAAGGACCAAACATAGAGGATTGAAAATCAGATTATTAAAACTTGCAATATCTTCGGAATAATGGACATATACCAAATACACTTTAAGATAGCCTGAAGCCGAGCGGCACGAATGTCCCGAGGCTTTATGCGTTACCGAAAATTCATAAGACAGATGTCACGCTTCGCCCGATCATAGCAATGGTTAACTCACCCTACCATGCCGTCGCCCAATGGCTTGTGGAAATTCTACAGCCAGTAAGACAGCGACTTACACACTACAGTCTTCGTGACACCTTTCAATTCATCGAAAGCATCAAAGACCGTAACATCGGTAAGAAAGTAGTTTTCCTTGGATGTTATATCGCTTTTCACCAACGTGCCACTTTTCGAGACGATCGATTACCTTTGCTCCTACATAGAAGAAACAAAAGCAAGTATATGCATACCGTTGCATGACTTGAAAAGCCTTCTTTTGCGTTGCACTTGGAACGTACAGTTCCTATTCAATAGCACTTACTACCGACAAAAGGATGGTGTAGCTATGGGATCGCCATTAGGTCCGTTGTTAGCTGATGTCTCCATGACGAAATTAGAGAATACCAAGTTACATGCGGAGATCACGGCCTTTGAATGTTACCACCGCTATATGGACGACATATTTGTCGTGGCCGACCAGTCTGTTGACCTTGACGCTGTTAATGACCGTTTTAATCGGGCCAGCGCATCATTGCAGTTTACCTACGAAAAAGAATTGAACGATCAGTTGCCGTTTCTTGATGTGCTGCTAACTAGAAGGGCAGACAGCTCGATCCAACGACAGGTCTACAGGAAGAAAACCTGGAGTGGCCAGTATACGAACTTTCACAGTTTCGTTCCGTTGAGATATAAGCGAAACCTAATTCGCTGTCTAACCACAAGGGCCCGCTGGATCTGTTCTGAAGATAAGTTGGATAATGAGTTGACGTTCGTTCAGAATTTGCTGCGCGAAAACAGATATCCTGATCATTTCCTTTTTAGGAACATGCAAAATAAGCCCGACCAGTTGCAAGTTCAGACAGCAGAGAAAAAAGAACTTTTCATACGACTACTGTTCAAGGGAGACGCCGCTGCTGAGCGTGTAACTAGAAGCCTTTCAACACCTGTCAAGTCAACTTTTCCAGCAGCCAAGCTTAGGTGTACCTTTATCACGGAGCCACTCATTCGTATTCGCAACAAAGACAAATTACTGACGCTGACCGCTCCTATGGTAATTTATCAGTTCGAGTGCACCTGTGGCGATACTTACATCGGTCGAACGGCGCGGCAACTGTCGAAGCGCATTAAGAAGCACCTACCTCGCTGGTTGCGTCGAGGCGGTACTGGGGCTATAACTAGTGGGCATGAGGTTGACCCAGTCAGTGCCTTTCGAATACTATACAGGGTCCCACCACTTCAGTCGAAAGGCCTGCGCCTCCGCAACCTTGCTACTGCCGAGGCGATCAACATTCGGTTGTATCAACCGTTTCTGTGTGCACAAAAGAAGCTGATCGAAGCTGTTAAGCTACGTTGGCCAGCCAAAACGGATCCTTCTGAGAGCAACTGCAATTGTGCAACTGCACCTCTGTCCTAGTTTGCTGTTTGTTACTGGCTCATGCCTTTGGTCGGCAAGTGGTCAATCGCATTTGAACTGATCGTTAATCCACTTTTACGCCCATTGCTATTTCACTCATATGATTGCACGGGTCTGAAGACGAATCATCGAAAACAATTGTTTACCTTCGGTCTTTTGTTCTTGATAATGAAATGGGAATTCTCCAGTTACTTCTATAAGTTATAAATGCGTCAAGCTTGATACTTTATTGAGTTCGGTCTCTACTCATGGGAAATTCTTAAAAGAAACCTAATTTGGGGTAAGGAGGACGATAGAAGATGTGACAGTATAACTGTCCGGTAGGGTTCCGTTCGAACACGCTGCTTAGTACCAATTGCATTGTGGATTAGTTTAGTGTCAGATACTAGTGCAAATGCTACACCAGAGGCGAGGGACTATGAGTTCCAAACCAAAAGCAGTAATCGCTATCTGCCAACGAAATTCAAACGCAGGCTACTGCCCGTCATCAGGCTTCTGAATTCGCTGTCATAGGCTGGAGAGAACTAACTCATCAAATGCTCATGCGTCATGTAAGGCAAGTTTGTAACATGACTAGGGGCTGGAAAAAAATTTGTTAAATGATGCAGTGAAATCCCGAAGGAGTATGACTTTATTTTTTAGCTTAGTCCAAGAAAGGCCATCGCGTTTGAACAGATGTTAAAAAATGAAGCTAAAGCGATTGATCCCTTCACAGATGAACGGTCACTACCACTATTGCTAAAAAAATCCGTATAGCCTATTGTGACCTTGAGAAAAATGTTAATGTGCCGATCGATTGGGAAATACACGAGATGAACGCGTAATACGGAAGAGACGGAGATAAAGTACGTGGGGTTTTATGCACCGGTGACGAGGGAATGCTGTAACTACTTAATTGACGACCAAGTCGAGTTGCGTAGCTGAAAGATAAAAGTGCGGATGGGCAAACTGCCCTGCGTGTGCAAGGTCGTAACATTGCCTTGAGCTGAGTAGGGCCAGGAAAACACGCAATAAACACCCGCTACTAATGAGTAGTCGAAAATCAAACAAAATGGCAGTGCAAGTTCTGTGTTGATAGCACTGCTCGATCACCAAACTGCACGCAATGACCGGTATCATCCTTATTGGGACGTCAGAACTTCGAGTAGTTGATGGCGGACACTTCATCGTTTAGGCATTAGACTCTGTGGGTAACGACTCAGCGGTCGGAAGTTCAATCGATTGAAGCTCCTACGTGCGTTCGAATTAATAGGCGCAATCACAACTGTAGGCACAGACACCAATGAATTAAACAGACCAGGCAGATGATTTTATCTTGATTGTATTGGTAGGAAGTAACAACGCAAGTGCCAAGGAGAAAAATTACTAGTCGCAGCGAATAAGAATATGAACATGCAATGAAACATACTCTTTTCACAGCGGAAGTAATTTCAGCCTCAGGGTTTTTGATTTTGTGTCCTTCATCTAATATGATATAAGTCCAGGATGTATTTGGGGCGGTGAGCAAGTCTTGATAGGCAACTAAAGTGTTGTAAGTTGTAAGCAACACAGTTCCTGGATGATGCATTGCAGTGCGAACAAGAGCGGCCTGCATCAATGAAAAGGAGAAAGGACGAATACCCATGAGGTAACAGAGGAATGCAGAAGCGTCACTCGTATATGGGTACATAGAAACGGAAATGCGAGTGGAGTGTAAAAAGGTGGAATGAAATTTGCCCGCTAGCGTTCAAGTAGTATGGGGAGGGAACGAACTGGGGGATGTCTGCAATGACAAGCCACACGGAAACATGCTTACCACTGAGTATGAAAGTAGAAATGTTGGCTGTCTACTGGTTCCCAGTTAAGCTAGTTCCATTTCGATGAAACCAATTCGTTCACGATCGGATCAGGCAGCTGGTTTGTGAACCAGTTCGAGCCTGTATAGATGCGGCTGACCTCGCAGTGTCCCGACCCTGAATGCGCTTGGTGGTGGTCGCGCGTAGCAACGAAGCAACCGAACCTCTGGCGCCTAGGTTCTTTTTCTTTTACGGACAAAGACTCGAGTTTTTAATGTCTGTAGGCACACAGTCCATGTACGTACTAGTTCCTGATGAAAACTGTTTTAGAGGCCTAAGTTCGCTTTCCTCCTTGATTACGAATTGTTCAAACACTAAGAAGCCAAGCGATAGCAAATTTACATTGTTTTAGATAATTTATGTAAAAAGCAAAACGAATTACAACTTTTAAATAAGTATGGAAAATTGTGGTAAGAAAGCGTACTTCGGTAACTTAATTAGCAAAACTAAATACTGTCTACAATGGGACCGAAGCTCCTGAACGTATATCTGGCATGCAGAAAATGGAGACGCGTAACAAGCAGTTAGCATTGTCTACTAACTTGTAAAGGACCTCTCAATCTATCACACACTATGCACTGCGCGGAAACGCTTTTTACCGATGATGTAACTCAGTAACGACCCTCAATTAGAAGCAGGGAAAGCAAGGACTTCATTTGTATATTCTGTGGGCCCACGTATGTCTCGTTGAAGATGATTAGCCGACTATCCCGGCGCTCCACCCATCTAGGTGCGCAGTGGGCAGAAGCAGAGCAGTGAAGCAGGCGATCAGAATGAAAATTGTTCATATGAAAAACATGAGGACATCGAGAGGTTGCACAAACAAGCCTTATCTTTCACATCCACCACTTTTGCTTCAATGGGGTAGACACATGTGCGCTCTGTTAGCTTGAACAAACGATGTACCCTTCCTCAGTAAACAGCTAAATTTATGCAGTAAATTCCTAGTTCCCCGTTTTATCATATGCTGTTGCGATTGACTGGAATAGCGTGCATCAAACAGGCAGATAAGCGTCGGAGTTGCCTGTCCTAACGCTTTCTTATCATATACCGATATTTCAGTATTCATTTCCATTTTTATGCACAGTGTGTTGTTCGCTCAGCTATTCAGTACTGTTAGACTTATTGGTTTTCTCACCAAACAGACCTTCTGCGCTTCCGCGCTGTGATTTAAACCAGACTGCTGCAGTTCCAGAAGAAAACTAATAACGAAGCCATCAATGATGTGGTGGAAAAAGTTTGCAGGAGTGGCTAGAATTCACTTTGAACATTATCTGAGAAACTGGATCTCACCCCAACGAATAATATACGAGAGTCATTCAATAAATAAGGTGAACTTTTCGGTATAAGGACTTCTAATACAGATAGAAGCTTACTTTTTGTTTATTTTTGTTGCTATACTTATTTTTCACATGGATGTAATTTCTTTTGCAGATTGAAGAAAAACTTTGAGAGTTGTAGCGATTAATAAAGTTGGCCGACCAAAAAGCATGCTCCAGGATTGAACAGCGGTCAGTTATCAAGTTTTGGTTGCTGAAGAGTGCAAGCCAATTGAAATTCATAGGAGAATGTCAACTGTGTATGGTGCCACATGTTTCAGCCGAAAAAATGTCTACAAGTGGGCCAAATTGTTTAAAGAAGGACGGAGCAGTGTTGAGGATGAAGATAGACCTGAGGTGCTCGAATCAGTCAATGACCTCATTCAGTCGGACAGAAGGGTGACAGTGGATGACATGGACAATTTTGCGTGCCGCCCCAACAGATAAGCTCAGATTCCTTGCAATGTCATCCACTGTCACCCTTCTGTCCGACTGAATGAGGTCATTCACTGATTCGATTACCTCAGGAGACCTCACTTCTGTAGGCCTCCCAGGCCTGTCTTCATCCTCAACACTGCTCCGTCCTTCTTTAAACAATTTGGCCCACTTGTAGACATTTTTTCGGCTGAAACATGTGGCACCATACACAGTTGACATTCTCCTATGAATTTCAACTGGTTTGCACTCTTCAGCAACCAAAAACTTGATAACTGACCGATGTTCAATCCTGGAGCATGCTTTTTGGTCGGCTATCTTTGTTAATCGCCACAACTCTCAAAGTTTCTTTTTCAAGCTACAAAAGCAATTACATCCATGTGAAAAATAAGTATAGCAACAAAAATAAACAAAAAGTAAGCTTCTATCGGTATTAGAAGTCCTTATACCGAAAAATTCACCTTATTTATTGAATGACCCTCGTATATCGTGTCTAAATGCATATCTTTTCACCTCACCTTAACGTTTAGCTGAACATGCACACGTTGTGTAAGCTTACTGTGGTAATGTTCGCTGTCATCGCATTTGTGACAATTTAAAAAAAAACATATTTTTTGGCATCTCGTACTTATCGCGGATTTGTCGGTAACCATTTTATTGCATATGCTCATTTAGCTTAGATTTATGTGAGCATTTCCGTATGCTTCATACAATATACGTTATTTGTGATTCTCATTTCAAGTGAGGGTTACTGTTTCTCCATTCCGTTTGTGCTAGTCCATACACAAGTGAGAACAAATGCCTGCTCGCAACACTGCAGTACTGCAACTCGAATCAGGGATCTTTGGTATGTCAAGTGCTATCTCTACTCGCAGCGGCCGGTGCCCGTCATCATGTTGAATGAATAAGTGGAAGCCAGTTAGAAACACTTGTAAGCGCCACATTCCTGTTTGACAGACTAATCGCATTTTCACACGCGTGACACCATTATCTGCTGGCTCGATGTCTAACTGGGGCTCGCCCAAATTACACGTAGTGCTAACATTTGTTTGTACTGCTGCCGCCTTCAGGTACACGCACTGAGATTTAGACAAGTCATCAATGTTGATTCCGGAACAGCGGCAACACGATGTGACAAGCAAATGGAAATACTTGGACACATGTAACCTTATAGGCACTGATGAATTGGTCGAGATATGCTAACAGTCAGAACGAATGACCAGGAGGAAATAAATAGTAACGACAGACTGCCTGGTGGTTCTACATACCCGTTAATTCTTGCTCACCTCGAACAAGAGACGATCGGCCCGGCTCTGGTTTATCTCTTGACAAGGATTGTCTGCAGTTACTACAGGAGACAGCATTCACAGCCACACTAACGATAAATCATCATTGTTCCACTGTGCTTCCAATGCTTCATTCAAGTGAGCATAGCTATAATTGGCGTTCTCTCACCGCGGACTTTAACAGCTGAGCGTATAAAAATCAGTGAACTTAACCGCACCATTTCCTCGCTAATTTGTAAAGTGGTTTACTCCATCTCCGTCATCTTCTTCGTGTCATCCTTAATTCTATCACTCATGTAAGTTGCGCTTGGGTACAGTTTCACTCTAGAATGATTAACAACTGACTTGGCGCAATGTAGTCTCTTTATTGCATCTGCCTAGGATGGATGAGCCATATCTAACCTACCTTTATTAGGTTTACTTAATTCGGTTGTATTTCGCGATTTCACGCGTTGCCCAAGATCTATGATACCCTTGCTACCTTGCCGAGACGGCGGGCTGCGGCATCTTCCTCTTCGTATTATTATTCGTCTGTCATTCACATCAACATGGTATTGCTCACCTGACTATGCGAGGCTGCCACTATCCCTTTTGCTACCTATATTCTGCTTCTTGAAATCGATTTGTAGATTACATGACCCTAGCTTGACCAGCTGGCCAATGCTAAATAGCAGGACACTTAGAAAGCCAGTGTATGGCAGAAGAAAAGTTCAGTTCATCCATGAACTCATTCGTATTTGACGTGCGCGCGGGGTTTCCGAGTGAATTGTGTGGTTGATACGGATCAATGCTAGGGTGGAAAATTATTGAGTATGTTTCCAGTTCGGTAAATACGTGTCAATCAAAAGGTTACCAGCACGTGGCCATTTACAGTAATATGCATATACTGTAAAGGTTAACATTTTGAACACAACGCTCAACGACTGTCCCTCGTGGGACCATGTTGGACTATGCATCAGAAGAAAAATGCCCCTGGAAATTCTGTGGCAGGTGAGCAATCCCGACAAGTAGCCGACTAGCGAGTAGCACGATGTCGCAAGTTCATGTTCCACTCCACAGGTTAGTGATGAGAGTTGGCATAGCTATATTTCTCGTTGTTCATCAGCAATACTAATTTAACGGGGTTTTGAAAACGCAAGTACCAAGCGAATTGAAAGCGGAATCGCAGAGATGCCTAACATTAGTTGAAGTGGACATGGCCAAACTTCTGAATAGACAAACAAAAAGGTAGTGGTAGTAGTAGTGGTGGCAGTAGTAATAAGTAGTAGTACTGTAGTCAGCAGACATAGAGCCAAACATAACCACAGAAATCATTAAAAGAAGACAGGTGGAACATTGTAAAAGCAGCATGGCAAAATAACTGAAGGAGAGCAACAACTTCAGCTGTTGTGCAGCAACATAAAAAACAACGAAGCACTTTTTTATTTCGCACGTGCCACTTTTAAATTTCTTTGTTTTTTTTTTAATCGTTAAACATAAGGTATCCAAACCTAAGCAGTTATATACACAGATCCACCACTGGTTGCGATTATGAGCCATATTGTGAGTTGTTTCCAGCCATCGGCACTCCTCGTCCTTTGGTCTCAAACCATGCAGACGCGTGGATCCAATGGTGTCAAGACGTGAAGTCAACGATTTCATGTGCTGTCGACAGGTGAATGGTGGACCACCACGTGGTCTCGTCCAGTTGAGTCCTGTAGGAATACACAGAGCGCGATAGGGCAAACGCCCAGCTGACATACGCAGAATTCGACCGAAAAAGACAAGAAAAAACAACCGAAAGAAATGCACACTCCAAACAATCACCGTCACAAGCCCGCTCACCACGGCCCCTCCAGACCCTCGCGTGGACACTACGCGGAATTCGATGAATCAATGCCGCCAGCCCCCTGTGCCCGGACCGTCCCTGCGGTTCTATTCGCACCCCCCCTGGCGCACACACGCGCGTGAACCGACCACAGCCACACTAACGATAAATCATCATTGTTCCACTGTGCTTCCAATGCTTCATTCAAGTGAGCATAGCTATAATTGGCGTTCTCTCACCGCGGACTTTAACTTAGCTGAGCGTATAAAAATCAGTGAACTTAACCGCACCATTTCCTCGCTAATTTGTAAAGTGGTTTACTCCATCTCCGTCATCTTCTTCGTGTCATCCTTAATTCTATCGCTCATGTAAGTTGCGCTTGGGTACAGTTTCACTCTAGAATGATTAACAACTGACTTGGCGCAATGTAGTTCTTATTGCATCTGCCTAGGATGGATGAGCCATATCTAACCTACCTTTATTAGGCTTACTTAACTCGGTTGTATTTCGCGATTTCACGCGTTGCCCAAGATCTATGATACCCTTGCTACCTTGCCGAGACGGCGGGCTACGGCATCTTCCTCTTCGTATTATTATTCGTCTGCGATTCACATCAACATGGTATTGCTCACCTGACTATGCGAGGCTGCCACTATCCCTTTTGCTACCTACATTCTGCTTCTTGAAATCGATTTGTAGATTACATGACCCTAGCTTGACCAGCTGCCCAATGCTAACTAGCAGGACACTTAGAAAGCTAGTGTATCGCAGAAGAAAAGTTCAGTCCATCCATGAACTCATTCGTATTTGACGTACGCGCAGGGTTTCCGAGTGAATTGTGTGGTTGATACGGATCAATGCTAGGGTGGAAAATTATTGAGTATGTTTCCAGTTCGGTAAATACGTGTCAATCAAAAGGTTACCAGTGCTTGGCCATTTACAGTAGTATGCATATAGTGTAAAGGTTGACAATTTGAACATAATGCTCAACCACTGTCCCTCGTGTGACCACGTTGGACTATGCATCCGAAGAAAAATTTCCATGGAAATTCTGTGGCAAGTGAACAATCCCGACAAGTAGCCGACTAGCGAGTATCACGATGTCGCCAGTTCATGTTCCACTCCACAGGTTAGTGATGAGAGTTGGCATAGCTATATTTCCCGTCGTTCATCAGCAATACTAATTTACCGGGGTTTTGAAAACGCAAGTACCAAGCGGATTGAAAGCAGAATCGCAGAGATGCCTAACATTAGTTGAAGTGGATATGGCCAAACTTCTGAATAGACAAACAAAAAGGTGGTGGTGGTAGTAGTAGTAGTAATAAGTAGTAGTACTGTAGTCGGCAGTCTATCTAACAGACATAGAGCCAAACATAACCAAAGAAATCATTAAAAGAAGACAGGTGGAACACCGTAACAGCAGCATGGCACATCAACTGAAAGTGAGCAACACACTTCAGCTAATGTGCCACAATATAAAAATAACGAAGCATTTTTTGTTATTTTGCACATACCATTTTTTAATTTTTTTGTCATTTTTAATCGTTAAGCATTAGGTATCCAAATCTAAGCAGTTATATACACAAATCTTCCACTGGTTTCGATTACGAGCCATATTCTGAATTGTTTCCAGCAATCGGCACCCCTCGTCCTTTGGTCACCAACCCTGCAGAGGTGTGGATCCAATGGTGTCAAGACGTGAAGTCAACGATTTCATACGTTGTCGCCAGGTGGATGGTGGACCACCACCTGGTCTCGTCCAGTAGGAGTAAACAGAGCGCGATAGGGCGAACGCTCAGCTGACATACGCAGGACTTGACCGAGCCATCTTAACTGGCCCAGCAAAACTAGATTGTTGAAGGGAATACTCGCATTCCCTAAGACACGACGTCTGAGTTCACTGCTGCAAATGTGTTGTTGCCACCACACACGAGCAATCCTCCTCAAGCACCCGTTGTCGAAGGCCGAGAACCGGCACATATCGTCTAGGCGAACTGGCCATGAATCGTTACGATATAGCAACACCGCCTGAACGGTGACATTGTAAACACGACCCTTTGCCAAGAGGAAGATATCCCAGCGACACCACAAGTGCTGCAGGTTAACAAACGTCGACTGAGCATCGGCGATTGGAAAAGAAACTTCCCTTCTATTGATACGACCATCAGACACACAGCTGCCAAGGTAGACAAAGCTATCCACTTGTTCAAACTGTGTACCTTCAATATTGAGCACGGGAACTGTTGACTGCCAATCCTGAAGCAGAACTTTAAAGTCTGACGAGACAAAGCCCATTCCGTACCTAGATGCCTCAATCGCCAAGCGGTCTAGAATGGTTTGCATGCTTTGTGAGTCCTCATCAAGTAAGGCGATATCATCGGCATAATCTAAGTCGGTTGCTCGCTTGTCCGGTAATAGCTGTATACCAAAATTTTGGCAACCGTCTAGAGCTCTCGACAGGATGTCCTCAATCGCAAAATTGAAGAGGAACGGGAACATAGGGCTGCCTTGTCGTACACTTCTACTGACAGCAAAGGACGACGAAAGCCTGCCATACACTTTCACTCTGCCAGAGTTGTGGAAATACAGAGCGCGTACGGTTACAGTGTACTTTTCTGGGAAATCATTCCCCAGCAAACAACACCATAGTGCAGGCCGATCAGCCGAGTCGAATGCAGCACGGATGTTCAGGAATGCAACGATGGTAAAGGTGGCGGTGTTCCAGGATTTGACGGAGTGTGGATATGTGGTCTACATACCCGCGGTCAGGTCGGAAGCCAGCCTGTTCTTCCTGGTACTGCAATTCGCAAATGGGAGATAGTCTACGGAGTAGAACGGATGCCAATAGGTTGGAGGCAACCGGAATGAGACTAATCCCCCGGTAGTGATTGGTACACGAAGTGCGAGCACCCTTCTTACAAACCGGGACAATAACTGACTCGCCCCAGGAAGAAGACACCTTTTCTTCATGCCAGATTTTGGAGAACAATGAGGTTAGCTGGCTAATGATAACTGAGCCTCCATATTTGAACAGCTCCGGAGGAACTCCGTCTGAGCCAGCAGCCTTGAATCGTCTTAGGTGAGGAATCGCAAGACATATATATATATATATATATATATATATATATATATATGGCGCTAGCGCCTTTTAGAACAGACCAGCGGAAATGGGTGTAGTTGGAAGACAGAAGGTAGAAAAAACTAACGTAACCAGTACATAATGCAATAGAAGATTACTCACTGGTTTACGGTAACCGGAGCCGGTAGAGTGAAGAATGATGATCCTTATTGCCGGATACCATTCGTAGAACTCTCGCATCCATTGTTGTAAAACAGTCGCCGGGCAAACAATCAGAATGGACAAAGGTGACGCCGCGCTAAGTTGAAAGAGAAAGGAAAGCGGTAGAGGTGATGGTAGATGTGTGGGGTCACAATCAATTTGGTGGACAAAGATGCGGAGCAGAATGTGAGTCTCAATTCGCAAGTTCGTGTCTCCCAAATAGTCAAGGTGGGGAATCGATGAAGCACACACGACCCTTCAGGTGAACAAGTCGAATAAAAAATTCATCCAAAAGACTAACACATCAGACATCTTCCATCAGAGATGAAGGCAGTCTTAAGAGAGCCATTTTTATGGATATCGATCAGACTCCATCTGATGAGTTGTAACAACGGTGAAATCGGCCGCACACCTGAGTGTAAGTGATGCATTCTTTTCCGATGAACTTCGTCAAAGTTACCAAGATGACTGTCAGTTGCGAAAAAGACATACAATGCAGCAGAATTGCGGTCGTTCGTGTCAGAGAGACTAGTACTTGTGTGTTCAGCGAAGACCTGAGACGAGATGGCACAAGCCCCATTGATTGTACAGAGTTACATGTTAGGAGCACTGATCGAAGTCTGGACGTCAGAATCTACGAATACATTCCGGTGGTTGCGCGGACCGATGTGGAATGAGTGGATCGAGTGACACTGAGGAATTTGATGACCACAAATGCAAAGACCAACTAAGGTGCATCACTTACGATCCTCGTACGCAGTCAAAAGCCTCACATCTCCAAGCTTCTCAAGGACACCCGTCACTTGGTGTGTGGACAAGTAACCGTAGTACTGAACCTAACGTGCGCTATCGCGAAGTGCACCAATCGGCCATTAAGCTACTACACATCCCCTTGTCTTTCCATGCCATTATTGATATAACGTGTTTGAGGGAATACATGAAACTACTGTGTCATCTCATAACCTGCGCTCTCCGATATTCTTATTTAGACTGTCATTTGCTTCGCAGAAGAGCTGGGTTGAGATTGCGCATGTCACATTTCAGTCAACCAGCAAAGTGGGCGGTAGCAGAATACAAGGATGCTTAGGGGATCGGGTTCGTCTGCCATGACACTCGAAAAAGATGTAGAAGGAGTGTGGAGCACAGCACTATGAAGTTAGATTGTCCTTATCTGCGTGGTCAATTGTCAACAGTTAATGGTTCGGACTTTATAGACTCCACAGAAGATGCATCGGTTAACATGAGACGGAGGCCCACTGCACCTATTAAAGTTCGGCGGTTGGTGAACTGAGTTTGGCCAACCGTTGAATGGATCAACCCATAATCCGCGTTGAGACGTTCCCTGTAAACAATTAAGCGAGCCCTGTAGGGTAAACTAAACGGGACGTGTCACTGTTGCTGTCTGTCAAGCACAGCGCATCAGAAAGAACTGGTAGACAGCCCACCAAACGCGGCGCGGCGTGATAGTCAGACAGGTAGCATACAGACAGTGTAGCTGAGTGAAAGAATGACAAGTAGAAGGAAAACGAGGAAGATAACAGCACCATGTCAAGCAGTGCGTCTGGCACTACGGCGCTACATCGCAGCACCTGTCCACTGCGGGGCAAAAGCGCAACGGATCCCACCTTCATACAACAGCCCGGTCACGTGACGTCACCGCTATTGCTTCTGATACATGGATCGGTGCAAGGAAAGGACAAATATGCAAGAAAAGACATAAGTGTTCGGTGGACTTGAACAGGCTGATCTCACCTTTTAACGATAAGATCCAATGAAGTGCTGATGGGCATTTGAAGGACCAGAGCCGACCAATGAGGTAAACATCCTTAATTCCTCGTGGCCCGATGGGCTCACAGGGGGTTGAAGCGAAAGATCAATTGACGAAACTCATCGTCATTGCTTTTCCAATGACATCCTGCATTTGTGAGCGAAATTAGTCGACCAACATGGATAAGAGATAACTCATGGTACGATATCCCCGCGTGAATTTTATGTTTACTTACTCCAAACATGTAAGCTGGATGGCTGCACAGTGGTAACGTACACCCAGTCCGAAAGCAACGGCCTGATGACAAAACGCACCAACGCACGCTGCGATCGTACCAACACAATTCGACATCACCGCTTAATGTAGTGGCTCTCGTACCGCGAGAGATACACAGAGCGAGTCAACGCTCGACAGCCATCATCATACGATAAAGGAAAGACACTGTATCGCGAACGCGCCAGAGTACTATGGATAGCTGTAGGAGTTCACAGTGGTTGTGCAACGCTCCGGTCTCAACCAGTTTCTCGGCCTCCCGAGTTCAATAGGCTTCATTGTCAGTTTGCAGGCCCCATCTTACCTCGAGCCTAGTGGCACGTCTCGCCATATTTTGCCCGTGGGAACAGCGGGAGTACTTCTTCGGTCGACTGACACCTCCGAAATCCAACATCTGTCGGGATGACGATTGACACTGCCACAAACAGTAGATCCAGTGTCGTGTGCTAGGCAGTAGAAATGATGCTACATTTAACATTTTCCCCTGAACAACGAGGCGAAAGGTCGGGATGCGGAAAATCAGCACGACGATTACAGAAAGCTTAAATTCGTAGCTGTCGATCAGGAAAAATCGTTTACGTGCATTTTAGTGATAAATTATGATAAAAATCGGTAACAGACTAGGGTATGATCGTAACATGTGCACGTGCTGCAGAGGATGTAAGTAAGAAGTAGAGCCAAACCAACGGAATCCCAACGCGATGCAGCCTATTTGGATTCATCGCTGGTCAAACTGGGGAGGATGCCGAATCGCACAGAGGCAAACAACGAGTGGTTCGAGCGGAATAAAAGCTCAAACGTCCCATGTAAGTAAAGTATCAGAGATCTCAGACAACTTAAGCGTGAGTGTATAGCTTTTGCATCTATAAATCCCTATAAGTTGGCGACATCACAAGGCAACGTTCAGGTGATGGTAAAAGGCGTAGCTAGTAGTAGCAGGGATGCAATTGGCTGGGGCACATACGGTAACCACGAATAAACAGCGTCTAGCACTGTTCCGTGCGTTAACCACGGTTGACAATGTTAAACAAGCTGCAGACGAGCAGGCATACACGAGATCCCAATGAACTGGCGAGGATTCAACTTTGGGACCAAAGATGGTGCTCACCCCAACTTAAGCTGTAGCTGCGGAGTAGCATCTGCAGGCGTGTTCAATCAATAGAGGATGAGCTAGACGTAGCTGGTTCGATAACCGCATGAGTTGTAGACTATATTCTCGAAGACGTAGCATACGTCAACACACAGGCGCAGCAGTTTGTCTCTCTGTCTTGTAGTACGGATGTTGAACGCAGCCAAAGAACCCGGGGAGAGTGGGTCGATACCAACAGAACAGCGAACACTGTGCAAAAGTGAGTGCTGTCGTAACTTAGGAAACGTTTGGGACAGGGAAAGAGAGGAATATAAGAGCGACAAAAGCATGGAGAGATGACGACTAGCTTTCGCTTATCCGCACTGCTGTGTGGCGTAGTCAAGGTGACGCTTTGGAAAATGCACAATAGCCGATGCAGGGTGAGACTGAGGTCGACGGAGAAATAAATCGTCATATGCGGCCTGGGGTACTACCATGTATCGAATCGAAGAGGGGAGAACAAGTGCCGTCTTCAATAAGGCCCTTAGGCCAATCACATGACCACAAGGCAGCGGAACACATATTGGAGGGATTGTGCAGAAATCATGGTAACACATGTTTTAACCCCCAACCAAGTGGACTGGAAGGCTGAATTTGTCCACACTCTAACCATTGAGCAATTTAGTAGAGGCAGATACCCTCGCGATCAGGAGGATCACGCGATAAGGCACAATGGATAGTAGAGGTATGAAAAACATCCCCTCAGGTCAATCTCCAGAAAGGTTTGTTCTCACCTCATCTCCACTATCGGAAAACAAGGCCTTAGTTTTGATCGACGAGGGAGCGAAGACAAACGCACAACGTATTGATCGGAATACAAGTGAAAAAGAACAAGAACATTGATTTTGAAGACGAAGAAATGCGTTGCCAAAGCACTTACTCTCTGTCGTCGCCGAAACTAGACTGTCTTTTGAGATAGTAATCGGAATAGTGGAGTCCAGCGAGGAAAGCAATCACCTGAGAGACACGGTAAAATTTCGCCGATCATCGGAAGTGCAGTTTAAGCAAATCGACAAGATGAGAATACGTGATATTAAAATAAGCACGAAAATTTATAAAATAAACAAGTCCGTAACATAGGTGTAGTTGTTGGTGAGCAGACGCAGTGCCAGGTAAAGTTACCAAGGAGATGAAGCCCAGTTTACAACCCCCAACACGTGAAATCAAAACAAGTACCAGGAATATTTCATACTTTCTGACAGTAGCGGCCTCTCTGATTAACATGAAGAGAGGAATCGAAAAGAGAAAACGAAAGAGTAAGATGGCTAGTGACTGCGTGTGGGGGGAATATACTCTCCGGCTGCCCATTCCGAGAGGAGGGTTTTGTTCGAGGTGCCCTATCTCTAGCCTTTGATCAAACAAGCTGAGCCATAACGCAGTGGGATACATGGAGGTCCGCTTGAGGGAGTCCATCTGAAGTCTCTGGTTCAATAGTCTGGCCCACAAGGCAATGTGGAACAAGTTCAGCTTGGAAGTGTGAGGGATGTTTCATACAACCTAGTAGTTTTAGAACAATTCAACTGGTTTCCGACCGTAGTATGTTAGCCACTTGTTGCAACGGCCAAGTGTTAGCGGCAGTTGGTGAGTCTGCATGCAATACACTAGGATGCTTATCCTGAAGTGGGTGGTACAGAAACCACTGAGCAACGGATGGTGCGTTCCCACCATCAGAGACAATGTATGGCACTCGTGCCCTACGACAATCTAACTGCCAAGGTGTAGAAAAGGAGAACAACGGGGATGGCACATGTGAGTGGTTACAGCATTTTATTAAGCGCAATGTTGAAGTTGAACAACTTGAGATCATTCGGTGAATAATCACCAAATGGGTAAAGTGTCTTGTCGCGACTCAAGCCACCATAGTTGTAGATATTAATTGCAGCGAAAAGGAGAGAAATGAAGCAAAAACCAAATCGGAAGAAAGAAAAAAAGCTACAAGCAGTGAGAACAACAAGAGTGAATGCCAGGTGAATACAGATCGGTGGACTAAACGATGGCGGATCTATCCGACATTGCCAGTCGATGACGCAGACCCACACAGAAAAGTGGACAAGATCAGGGCAACTCAGTCGTTCGAGCAGGAAATTCACGCAGTCGACTGGCTATTCTGGGGTTTCACCTAGCTCAAATTAGTTTCACGGAAACAAAAACACAAAGCGAGTAGGTGGTCCTTAGACATCTAACCACAGACAATACACACTCAACGTGGTTATAGGCATAATTGGCTGTGTTCAATTGTGATGAGAAATGGAAGAGTAAGCACTTAGTATTGTGTGCTTAAAAGCAGAGAGGCTACCGAGATCTCGCTGAAAATACATCAATGAGAGGTAGGAAAGTCAAAGCTTGATTTTTCTTGACTCCAACAGCTATCCGAGAGGAAAGATGAAATCGACTAAAGGCGATGTCACAACTTCGAATACGCAGTCAACAAAGGTTGAGTGACCAAGCAGATGTAATCACTAATCGACATATATCAGTGGTGGTATCGAAAATTACGCTTTAGGATCATGCTTCATCGACTCCCTACGGAGCACAGATATTGCGATGATGTAGGCAGAGATACTGGCCGAAAAGCCGGTGTCCGAATGGATCATCAGTGCGTTAGGTAAGTGAGCTAGACAATCTGTAACCGGTTGTAGCTAAGTTGTGGGTAAGAATGTTGTGTGAACGACGCAGGCAGAAGAGAGAACTGTGTCTAAGTAACCGGTAAATTTCATAGAAAAATTATAAGGGGATAAAATAGTTGACCTGGATATTTGCAAGTAATCAAAGTGTTATTAGCTAAGAGTAACAAACAGCTAGTGAGAAACGGGTTCGAAGAATGACGCAGCAGCTATGCAATCATCAGGAGAATCCGAGTTGTGCAATCTGTTTTGGGAGACGTCAGCAGTGATGCGCAACAGGAACAGGAGCCACGGATGCGGCGAGAAAAGCACTCTGTGTCAACCTTCCCACACATGTGAGCAGAGCATGAAAGTAATATGGTACCAGCAAGACAATTTCGCTGCAGTTTGCATTTCCCCATGTCCTAAGCGAAGCGGAGTTAGGCCTATAGGTATATTAAACAGGTGAGCAGAAATATCAAGAAGTGGGATTCCCAGATGTGGAGACCATCAGTTAAACTCATATACACAGCGGTGCGTGAGTCGAACTGAGTTAGATTTTCCGGTGCAATACAAGCAGCTTTCAAAGTGGAGCACAAAAAGAATTTGTGGATCAATTAGGCGAAGTTGGAAGCAAACGACGTTTCCCAATCGTCTCCCCTATGGAGAAACATAAAGGAGTTGTGTAAACAATTGGCCAAATAACGATTAATGTTATTATGGGTTACTGATATCTACTATACGTCCGGATAAGTGGAGATAAATGTCTTTTATCTGGCTTTGGTGCGCATGCTCCCTCGCTCTCTCTCTGTACATTTGGACTGTGACATGCAATCGTAAATTGAGGTGCAATTTAACGCTGAAAGTATGCTCAGTCGGGTGCATAAAGGTTACTCCGACTTGACTTGAATTGACTTTAGGTAACGTCGGTCATTATGACCAGTAGGACCGCATCCGAGGTAGAGTTTTGGACGTCTCAGTCCTATACATCAGAATGGCCGAAATTCACTTTTAAATAAAAGTTTGTATCATAATTTTACTTTGTAGTGTAATTTTTCTTAGTACCTTTCCTTTTGTGTTGCGGCACATAAGCTGAGATGTATTTCTGACCCTCAGTTAACGTGTGTATTGATGATGAAACGTTAGTCTAGTCACTCGGCTAGCATACAAAACCAGCAATAGGCAGATAACCGTTACAGCAAGCGCTGATCGCGGAGCTCAGTCGCTCAGTGATCAATTACTTAGTGCCGGGTTACCTCAATTGAGAAATCCCAATAAGGTCAAAATCTGTCGTGAGGTGTCAGTTTTGGTAACGCGAGCAACACTGACAACTTTCCCTGTTCGTGAGCATGAAGCGAACAAATGGTTGGACCAGTGAAGCAGCGGTACCATTTTGGCAAGGGACACAAGGAAAGGTAGTTAAAAAACACATATATACAATAACGATGTAGCTGTGTTGAAAACATACTAAGATATGGAGAAATGTGAAATAGACATAGTAGATAAAAGTGGGTGGGAGACTTCATTTTGTTTAATAGATAGTACGTATGCTATCGTTGGAATGAGGAAAATATGCAGTGGAAACTACTTGTAGCAACTGTAGAACGTGGGTTCTCCGACAGGAAACAATATCCCGATGTGGACATGCGACGCATTAGGAGACGCGGTGTTCGTAGTAGCATCAGATAAAAAACAATAGTTGCATATGGCTGACTGGGCAGGTCGAGGTCATGTGTTTGAGATCTGTCTACTTTGATATATCGATGAAAACAGGACAGCAGGTAGTACCCAAGTGCAAGTATCTGGTAAATATTGTGCGCTTGCATGAATGTTACAAGCTTACCAACCAATGAGAGTAGCGCAGAGTGGCCGCTGCCAATATTCACCCCATTCATTCCTTATACACGTTAGCTAGAGTTGGAAAACACCTCAGCTATTGGGTCGCAATATTTAGCTCAGGCTAACACGAGTAGCTGAACACTGCCAAGCGGAAATGAGGAAAGACATAGTTAGAAGTGTCGACAGTTCTAATTTGAAACACAATCCAACGCGTACATCAAATCACGCTCACGGACTTTCTTAGAGTTTCATACATAGTGCTTAAACGACGTTCGAAGACAAAGTAATCATGCTAACGTAGCCCGAATTGTGCGAGCAGGGGGCGTCAGTGCAAGTCATCCCCTTGCCATGACTATGATTCGACTTGGCCGCGATTGAAGGCGGTTATCTGGCTACCCCCATTGCTCCAGCAGCCGGACTAGATGTCGTATAACGTACATGCGACTGTGCAACGTGTGTCTTAACGGACATCTGCAAATGCTGCGACCATCATCGTCGACTGGAAAGTTGGAATGACGAGAAACGTCTATTGGAATTTTATGTGTGCAGCGGCACATCCCGAGGACAGTTAAAATTTAATTTTATGTGGTCAACAGTGTGCATGTATACTGTCCTATAAAACTGATTGTTCATAAGTATATTTCTGTAATAGGCCTGATGAGAAAAAAATCAAAAACAATTGCTTGCCTTACGCGTTCTGCTTACGTTTCTTTTTGAATTAGACAACAAAATAGGCATCCTGCACGAAATTAGTCAGCATGGGGAGAGCATTTAACCACCAACGCGTTGAAGCACGTGTGTCGGTATCCTATGTAGGAAGGGACAGTGGGTGATGACTCAATGCCTTACACTGCAAAGCTCACCTGGATCGTTTTCCCCAAACCCATTTCATCGCCCAGAATTCCTCCGCTCCGCTTCATATGCATGCTCCACAGCCAGTTTACACCTGCTCGTTGATAATCAAACAAACGAGACCAGATGCGACTAGGAACACGAAAATTCGCGTCCAACACTCCGTCGTCTGGGGCAGTTGTTAGTGGCTTCAGTGAGAAGAAGAGGAAAAGGAGAAAAGTGAGAATCAAGGATTCCCATCAGTGGTCAAGCGAAGATGGTTATCATCAGCACCACATGAATGGTAAGTAAGTAAAACGGTATCACTCTGGAGCTGCTGTCAAAATCAAGCACATATGTTCTGAAACTTCGAATTGTTGAGTATAGCCTCCGCAGAAGACAACAATGACCAAGGGATTAACTTCGAGTCACTATAATCATCAATATGCCACAGGTCAGCCGGCGGTGAGAAATTTATCGCTATTTCGCTGCAATACGATTGAATTGCGTTCTGAAAAATAACACGGAAAAAGTAACGTTAGGAACATGCACCACCGACGAAACCCAAAATGTAGAAACGGCCGTCTAGTGCTAGTCAACCCGCGTACCCAACCAAACGTATTCGTCATCTTTTAGACCCCAACCAGGCAGTCGTAAGGCACCACAACCGACGCCAAGTTCGAAGTGAGGGTATTTATTCTTCTTGACGCAGTTACCGGTTGGCCTCCCCTCTTCTTCTTCCATCCACAACAACGTCGCTGAAACAAAGCACGTAGAAAGATTAGGCGTGATGGCCCAGCCGGGTGTGTGAAATAATGGCGCTGAGCAGCTCACTTCCTCTTACTGCGCCGTAAACAAGATGTCGAAGATGCTGATTGCACATGCGGTAGTACCACCAGCCATGAGCCAAACTGCGAAGGCAAGTAGCCTCTTTGTCTGTCGATCTGATGGGTCAGGTTGCACAACCGTATAGCGGTGTCGAACGGACGGCAGTATCACAGGCCCCAAGCTTCAAGGCGAGAGTGATATCGCGCCAGCAGCACAAATGGCAAAGCTAAGCGAAAGTGCTCCGAGACTTTGCTACAGTTCGTGATATCATCTGCTATTTCACAAAAAGATGAACAGATGGAAATAAATGGTCAAACCAGAATAAGAAAGCCAAAAGTGAATGTGAGACAGGTGACGAGGACTTCGAGGACGAGTGTGGGGCGAAGAAATAATGGAAATTGAGCTGAGCATGACATATGCCATGTTGTAAGAAGAAGGGCAAAAAGTGAAGCAAAGGACGAAGATGCTAGTCGGTAAACATCGTAGCTAGAACAACCCTCCATAGTTCATCGTTGTAGATTCCATTGCGCCGCCTGAAAGCGATGATGGTCCACGGTCCACCGTGGAAAGGTGCTAAAACAATCTGCAGAAACAACCTACACGCCTGATCACTGGGGTAAAAGTCGATGGAGAACAATGGGGTAGGTTAAGACCTTTGGTGGGTATGCACTTTGACACAACAGATTCCCCAGCTTTCCGACGCATCACTCGAATGTTTACTGAATCTTAATCACTTATGATGGCTCGGCCGTCTTCCGCATGCCGACTGACCGCCTTCTTCAGCGTGCATTAGATGCCGTACCTACACAAAGTTGGGCAAAACCGCGAGGTAACCAGTCGATGAAGTTGCATAGAGACATGTAGTAACCGACCGAGAGGCATCGTTGGGCTGGTGCGTGCAGACCTCGTAGATAGAGTCCCGGAATGATCCACATCAGCTGTTGGAGACCCTATCGGAAATGCCGTAGTCAGAAGTGTCCCCACATTCGGTTACATGCATCTACCACTTAATACTCTTTCCAATCCTGTTTGGTTTAACACGTTTCCCCGATTCCATTTTCTTCAATTCTAGCTGCAGCAAACCTCACATTCTTGACGATGTTATGTATTGTTATTATGACGACGTGAATCGTGGAAAATGAATGCTGAAAATGGATCCAACGCACTCCGTTGCCTAGAGCATAGGAGAAATGAAATGAAATACTTGCGCAGATAGATGCTGCCATGAAGGAAGTGAACATTTTACATACCCTAGACTGGAACTCCACAGACCACGTTAGGGTTTACGGTAACCTGTTGAGTAGATTTCCGACAACAACTGACGTCAGTCGAGATTGCCCGATTTCCCAAATTTTGTTCAACTTCATCGTGGACCCCATCATGGAGTGTTCCCCTTCAGAATCTCACGATGCGGGCGTTGAGGTGATACCTGGTGATAGGCTAGTTGATCTCGATTAGGCTGACAATATCATGCTGTATAACAATGTTGCGGTGGCCCAATCAACCCTAAGTAACCTCTGCAGAGTGGTCTCAATATTTAGCATGCACTTCGCACTTTTCAAGTGGAGTGTTGCTGCAGGACCAACAGCCACTTGATGACCCCTTGACCCTACATGTCGTGGAACTCGAGGCAGTGGACTAAACCATTTACCTTGATATCTGCATCAGCAAAGATGGGCGCATAAGCAATGAAGTCAGTTCACGTGTTGCAAAAGTCAGAGCTGCCTTCTAGAACCTGCGGCATCTTTGGCGACACAAGGGAGTTTCCCTCCGTCTGAAAGACCGTGTTTACAAGGCCACAGTGAGGACTGTCCTGCTTTAGGGGAGTGAGACATGGCCCCTTCGGTCTGGTGATCTGAGGTGCCTTCAAGTCTTTGATCATCGTCGTCTGCCGAGCAGTGCTGGTGTCGGGTGGCACCAGCGTGTCCGCAACGATGATGTGCGTAGGCGAGTACTGGGAAGTGATACCCAAGCTAGAACAACAGGTAACACTGAACAAGTTGCGTTGGCTCGGGCACGTATGCCTGGTCACCACTTATCTAGGAGGGCCTTGATTAGTCTGCCAGATGTAGGGTGGCGCAAAGTTCGAGGTGGACAAAACATGACTGGGCAGCGTGAAAGAAAGTCACTGACGATTAAACTGGGTACCATTGTCCCGTTCGCCTTCAGGATTGAAGTCCACGTGACTCGTCTTGTGCTTGGCTCAAGACTACAGGATATGACTCGCAGTTCACACCAGTGGCGCGTCTCTTAATCAGATCGCCTGTGTAAAGCGCTGCTTCTGAGTAGGAGGATTTGAGTTGTACTTTAAAGTGTATTTGGTGCTGAGTTATCTGCGGGGTAATGGCTGATTATGACGCCGCGCAGTGGAAGCCGCAGAGAAAATCTCTCGCCGATTCCTCCTTACCGTTGCTTGATAGCCAGCTGTTTGTGACGGTGTTGTTAACACAAGGTGTACGCGTCTTGACACTGAATGTTTACTTAGGGTATTAAGGTCTTCAGGTAAGTCCCCATTCTCTCCCCCTTAATATTCTTTATTCCACAGGTCGTCATGGTTGTGTGGCAGCAAAGCGTCAGTTCAAATGGCTGATGTACTACGGTTGTTGATGATGATGAGTCTGTGCAACATGAAACGGGGACAGTGTCTAACTGAATAACATAACACAATTTCTGGGAGGGAACTCGGGCATCTATCAGTGAGATTGGAAAATAGTGGCACACAGCTGAAAGAGTCTTAGGTGGGTAGGCTCAACGAATGGATACATCGGTACGTTGGGTGTGGGTAGGATACCGTACGAATTCGGAACGATGGCTAACTGCAGTAGAACAATGTCCGTTTCTACTTAAGCTGTACCATGTATAACATACCCAGTTGGCCTGGGCTGAGAAAATAAATGTTTGCTGACGGATGGATGAATACTTAATGTACACGACATGACACTCACTTCATCATTTTCACGGGCCATCTCACATTGCAAAACTTCGAGCTTGCGCTTGCGACGTAGACGGCTCAGAAACTGCTCGGTGCTAGCGTCATCCATATGACGTTCCCTGTGCAGTCTTCGAGCTGCTGCAAGGAGACGCTTCGCGTTTTGCTGCGTCTGCTTCGGCGTTGGCATCCGGAGAGGTTGCCGCGCGCTTGTAGCAGCAGACTTGTCCTCACTGTTGTAGCTAGTGGATGGTTTGGAAACGGAAACGCAAGGCACTGCGAAAACAAGAAACAAAGAAAAGCGAGATGATCCTACGTCCCGGTAAATCTGTGTATATGTTTTGGCAATTGCGTTTGCTAACAGCACTGGGTGTTGACAACGCGTCGCGAAGTAGTTAACAAACTGGGTGACCGGATCAACGAGTGAGTGAGCCAATCATGCGAGTTTGAAGAAGTTATGAGTAGATGAAAAGGGAACCTCAAATCGGAATTGGTATCTGCCAATGCGAAATGGAGAGAAAATACCTTTCCGTTCTTCAGTTGTGGAAACGGTATTTATACAACCAGCAAATCCGTTCTCTTCACGCGAGAACTGCAGTCTGGAGAGCTTGGACACCAGTGACTGTCTTCGGGCTTTCAGCGTATCAATGTGTCTCATCTAGAATGCGATATAATGTTAAGTGTGCGAACGGAACGTTACTTTGTTCTCGGTTTCTAGCTCAAGGTTACGAAGTTTGCGGGAATTTGCAGTGGACACTTTAAGCATCCCGTCGAGTTCTTTCTCCATATTTTCCAATTCATCGTTTGCAAACCTTAAGGAATACGGTGGTTTGGGAAAACCTCACATACTTTATGTCCTGATCGATACACTGTAAGCGTTGTTGTGTCTTCGTAATCTCGCGTTCCGTATGCGTGTTGAATGCGCTCACTGCCTGTCGTAATACTCCTAGAAAGCAAACGTCCAAAAAGAAAGGCAAGGAATACCAGCCTCTAATTCAGTCTGATCGTAAGCGAGCACATTAGGCATGCCGCGCACTTCGGTAGCCTCGGTTTGTGGGATCTGGTCCCGGTCCACAATAAAGCTGCATGTATTGGAAGGACTGTTCGTAATCGAACTATCAGTAGCGGACATTCGGCCACACCGTGTGAAATCCCCTGAGCCAAACAAATATGGTTATTTGCTGTAAAGGTAAACAAGGGTGCATCGTTAGAAATAAAATGCGAATTGGGTAGAAATCACGTTAAAGTGCAATGCAGAAACCCCAAAGCACTAAGAACAGTGAGATCAAAAAGCAAACAATGAACACAAGCACCATGTTGCCATCGGGTGGCTCTAAGGAGAAATTTCACATACCAACAGAATGTATAACATGGTGGAACCGTTTCCAGACATGAACCATTTGGTTTAAGTAAGCGGTCCTAGCATGCTAGGAGAAAAAAGCTAGGATTGAGTAAGGGAAAGCCAGTGATAAAGTTGGACACCCTATAGGACAAAGTGCCAAAGACGTTGCGGTGAGAAAAGGATAAAGGAACATCAAAATATACAGTGGTAAGGCGCAGCGACGAGTTGACCAGTTTGCAAGATGAGAGCTATGGCAGGTTGAATGACGGAGCGTCAGTGGTGGAGCTGAAGGTCGGTATATAACAAAGGGCCAAAGACGTTGTGACGAGGAAATAGTGAATGTACATCGAGACATGCAAAGCTAAAGTGCTGAGTCGCGCTGAATAAGATAGTCGTCCTAGCTTGCCAGGAGAAGAGTGCTAAAGCAAGTTCACTGATAGAAAAGCAGCGGAGCAGCGAGACGCAATCATAGAGTAAAATTATTGAATAAGTCTATACATATGAAGCGAAAGCGCATAGAGGCAAAACAACTTACAACAGGAGTACATCAGCCATTTTAACTGTTGTCTCTCAGAAGCACGAAGATTTTGACCTATGGAACGACTGTTCCGTTCTTCGAAGAATAGTAGGAAGGAGAAAAGGGAAACCGAGAGTAACATCTTAATGCCCAAAGCAAAGATTCAGGTTCAACGCTCCTACAACTTGTGTCAACAACATACCGTCACAAAAGGCTGGCTATCGTGCGACTACCAGTATCTCACACCATAACCAACCATTACCTCACAGATAACTTAGCACCTGTTGCAAAGCTGCCTTCGTACTGCTGCACCGCTGTTATTCTGCGCCTACGAGACTACGACCGTCTGATTGCTCAGTCACGCGCCCAACCAACCGACGGGGATACAGAAGGCCAAGGCTCTGTAAACAGGGAGTCTATTCTACACGATAGCTCAGTTCCAGTTATTGATGAACGAAACATACTAATTTTGGAAGCGTTTGGCTCTCAGCCAATGTGCGTTACTTCCGTCCCACGGATTTTCCATATTTGGCAGAATAGTTCGCTTCCGTTGACTCGGGCTTGTATTTGCTGACCAATCAGTTTGCGCTCGATTCCCAAATTTGGAAAAACAGTCGAAGGTCGTTCCACGCTCGTGCTGGTGACCTTCGCATGCAGTAGACAGCTCATGTGCTCCGCGGTAAGCCTGTGCGCGACCTCGTATCTGGACATTGGATCCGCTTACCTCTCTATTACCTCCCCCTTCAACTTGATTGCTCCTACCTATTTTCTGCACTTGGGCTTGGTCGTAGTTTTTTACCCTGGGGTCTACTTGTAGCCATCGCGGTTGCCTTCTTCTTCGACTTGGCCTGCATGTCACGTAGTGTGGCGTCTGTGCAACCGGCTGTCTTCCGCTTTGGAGATCAGTTCTGTTTTATAAACCAAATGTATCCAGTAGTATGTCCCACTGCGGTGCCGCTGGTTGCTGATGTCTTTGAGTTTTGCCATGCCGCTGTCATAAATGATAGATGTGTCTGGTCCACTTGTTCTTTCCGACCATTATCTCATAAATAACGTTACTCCTCTTTCCACAAACCGTTCCGCTAACCCATCTTTCCAGGGTTTGGTAGTTTCATGTATACACCAAGTCGCCAATCTTGAACGTGCGAAGCCTGTTATCCTGCCTCTCTCTCGGTTGTCCGTTGCGTTTTCCAACATTGCTGAGAATCAGGTTATCAAATGTCGTTCTAATTTTTCGTCCAAGTAGACAATCAGAAGGAAATTTACCCTTCGGAGTATTTCGATACATTCACAAAAACGCCTGAATTGCATCTCGTGACATCCTCGTTCCCTCCGCACTGAGAAGAGCACGTTTAAAGGTATCAACAAACCGTTCGGCTTACCCATTCGATTGTGGTACGGCGGCGAAAACTTGTGCTGGATTCCGTTTTGCATGCAAAATTCTCGGAACAGCGTTGAGGTGAACTGGGCTCCGTTGTCTGTGACCAGCATCTCCGGGGTGCCAGAATACCGGAACAATTTGTTCAGCTCATTAATAGTGTGCTGGGCGGTGGGATTTTGCATCGGAATCAGGTCGGACCATTTTGTGTAGGAATCAACAAAAATCAAATAAGATTGACCGCATAATCCAAGTGGATTCTCTGACAGGGCTTCTTCGACTCGGGACAAGGGTGCCCCGAACAATTCGGAGGTGTCTTTGCTGCTTGTTGACAAGATTCACAACTTTGGCAGAACAGCTCGATTTCTGCATCCATTCAAGGCCAATACACAAAACTTCGCGCCAATGCCTTCATTCGGCTGGTTGCCGGATGTCCTTAATGAAACTGCTGTAGTATTCGCTTCCGTGACTTCCTTGGTACCACGACTCGGTCTCCGAACATTAGACAATTGTCTACGATCGAAAGGGATCCGCATCGATTAAAGAAAGGTTGTAACTCATTCGAAATGCTGACATTAGGCCAACTGGACTGCACAAACCCTATCACTTTCAGCAAAGTATCGTCTTGAGCCGTCTCTGCACGAATCGTGTCAGACGTTACTGGCAACTCTATTACACTGTCAAGCAGGATGCGCTGACAGCACAATAGCGGAGGTGTTTTCCCACCTCTAGCTGAGGTGTATAATAATAATAATAATAATATAGGATGCGCTGAACTTCCGACTCGAATTTGACAGATGAAATCATACAGTCATCGTTTTTCTTCAAGTGGGTATTGAGGAGGCGAGATAGAGCGCCAGCTTGGCCGAGCTGTTGTGTAGATCGGTAGTGTATACTGAAATCGTAAACCAGCAGTACGGTTGCCCATCTTTGTAACCGACTTGCTGTGAAAACAGAAATACCCTTCTTTGATCCAACTATAGAGAGTAGAGCTTTGTGGTCCGTGAGCAGTTTGAAATGTCTACCATATAGCATCTTAAGAAACCGTTTCACTGCGAAAACAATCGCCAGCGCTTCCTTCTCAATCTGGTTGTAATTTTTCTCCGCCACTGTCAGCGACCGTGCTGCGTGCGCAATGGCCTCTTCTCCTCCTGGGAACACGTGAGAAATGACAGCACCTACCCATTAATTGGAGGCGTCCGAAGCAACAATAATCTTCAAATTTGAGTTGAAGTGGGCAAAAGTAAATCAGAACTGAGCGCTGCTTTAACTATATCAAAGGATTGTTGGCACTCCTTTGTTCATCGCCATTCTTTCCCTTTCATCAGCAACTCGTGCAAAGGACCCCTTGTCTGATGTAGACTTGGCGGGAAGGCACTATAGTGAATTATAAGACCGATAAATGAACGAAGTTCGACAACATACCTTGGTGGTGACATCTGCTTGACGGCTTCTATGTTACCAGGATCCGGAGGTCGGCCATGTTTGTCAATGATGAACCCGAGAAACTTGACAGTTTCCAACAGGAAATTGGATTTTTCCGCTCGTAACCAGAAGCCAGTTTCTTCTAGACGAGTGAGCACTTTTGCTAACGTGGCCAGCAATGCTTGTGAGTCAGACCCCATAATCAATGCGTCATCCAGGTATACTGCGACTCCATCGATATCGTTCAGCAGCGTATCCATGATTTGTTGAGAAATGGCGGCAGCAGTTTTCACTCCGAATGGCAACCGATTGTACTGGAAAAGATCCAGATGCGTGCTGACCGTCAGTAGTGTTCTGCAGTTCTCGGCTACTGAAACTTGTAAGTAAGCATCAGCTAGATCGAGTTTTGCAAACCACTTTCCACCGTCAAGCTTGGTGAACAAATCTTCAGGTATAGGCAAAGGGTACTGCTGGTTCTCCAACATGGAATTTAAGCCGGTTGAAAAGTCAGCACAAATAAGTACCTCGCCGTTTCCTTTCTTTATCACAAAGTTGGGTGACGCCCATTCTGAGTAATGTACGCGCTCGATTATGCCTTCCGACTGCAAACGATTTAACTCAGACTCCACTATTGATTGTGTTGCGTACGGCATTGAGCGTTTTGGTCTACAGACTAATCTGGCGTCTGGTTTGAGGTTCAGCTCAACTCTGGCTATTCGGCAGCATCCAAGACCGGGTTGGAACAAACTTTCGTGGCGTTGCTTCAGTACTGTAATTTGATTGTAAAGTTTGAGGTTCATATTCTCTGAGGGTTTCTCAAGTTGTAGTTTCTGGCATATACTGTTAACTGACTGGTCAAGTAATTTCAACTCCTCCATCCAATCGAGACACAGCAAATTCAATCCTGGTTGATCTGTCACAAAACAGGTTGTACAAATGTGCTGATCACGGAAACTGACCTGACAATGCAACTCTCCGAGAAGTTTCAAAACACCGCCGGATGCGTTTCGTGCTGTGTGGTCTGTGTAGACAACCGGTGGTCGTCCCAGCATACACCATGTGTATCGGCAAATCAAAGTGATGTCTGACACAGTATCCAGCCGCAGCTTAACTTCGTTATCATTGATCTTCAACATTGTAAACTTACGCCTGTTGACACCGTCAACCTTGAAAGTCGCCGTCACAGTTTTGGCCTCGTTGTGACATCGAAAGCGCACTGGGATTCGACGCCTTATTCCACTCATTGTTAGTCGCTTCGTAAGACAACATGACTCTGTGTCCTCGCTTACCATAGCGATCGCAAATGTGATTTCGGAACGGGCAGTTTCGATCAAAGTGCCATTCCCTACAAAAACAATAAGCAGTAGGGGGTTTAGAATGTGGTGGACTCACATGAACCGATTCTTTCTGAGGACATCGGCTGACCCTGCAAATGATATCCTGGCTACCCTGGATGAATGACTGTTGGGTCATCGCAGCATCATGCTTCAAGTTCATCAACCGTTGACATTCGTTCGTCA